CAGACCAGCAGCTAAGCCCCACACCCTGGTGAGGCCAACAGGGAGGCTCAAACCCCCAGTACAAGCCATAATGGAAACCCACCCTCCAGAGAAAACAAGCAGCTAAACCCTGAAGCCCAGTGAAAGCCAGCAGTAAGCCCCAGAGCCCCAGCACAAAAAGCTTGGGACAGGGCAGGACCAGAGCCAAATTCTCACATAAAAACAAGTCATTAAAAAAAGGCTAAAAAAAAGAGCTTGATTATAGAAAGTTACTATGGTGATAAGGAAGATCAAGGCATAAACTAAGAAGAGGACAATAGTGTCAAAATGGTTACATGTGAAGCCTCAAAGAAAAATGTAATTTGCTTGCAGGCCCAAAGAGAATTCCTGGAAGACCTTTAAAAAGATTTCAAAAAGCAAATTAGAGAAGTAGAAGAAAACTTGGGAAAAGAAATGAGAGTAATACAAAAGAACCATGAAAAAAGAGTCAATAGCATGGGAAAAGATATACAAAAATTTACTGAGGAAAATAACTCCCTACAAAATGGAATTGGACATATAGAAAAGGAAGTACAAAAGTTCACTGAAGAAAATAATTCCTTAAAAAATAGAAATGAACAAGTGGAAACTAATGACTCTATGAGACATCAAGATAAGCTAAAACAAAATTTAAAAAAGTTAAAAATAGAAGAAAATGTGAAATTCCTCATTGGGAAAACAAATAACCTAGAAAATAGATTCAAGAAAGATAATATAACAATTATTGGACTACCCGAAAGCTATGATTAAAAAGAAGCCTGGACAACATCTGTCAAGAAATTATCAAAGAAAATTGCCCTGATATATTAGAACCAGAGGGTGAACTAGAAATAGAAAGAATACACTGAACAAAAAAAAAAAAAAAAGAATCCATTGAACACCACCTGAAAGAGATCTCAAAATGAAAACTCCAAGGAACATAATATATAAATTCCAGAGCTCACAGATCAAGGAAAAAGTATTGTAAGTGGTCAAAAAGAAATAATTCAAATATTGTGGAGCTAGACAGTAGTACAGTCAGGATTACACAGAATTTGGCAGCTTCCACATTAAAGAACTGTGGGGCTTGGAATATGCTATGCTGGAAGACAAAGGAATTAGGATTACAACCAAGAATCATCTACCCAGCAAAATTGAATGTAATCTTTCAGGGGGGAAATGGACATTAGAGGCTTTTCAAGCATTTCAAATTAAAAGACCAGAGCTGAACAAAAAAAAAATTGACTTCCAAATGCAAGACCCAAGAGAAACATAAAAAGATAAAAAAGAAACAAAAGAGAAAACATAAGAAATTCAATAAGGTTAAACTAGTTATATTCCTATATGGCAAGATAATATTTGTAACTGAACTTTATTATTGTAAAAGCAATTAGATGGAGTATATGGAGACAGAGGGTATGAACATAAGGTGACTTTGATGGGACAATAGCTCAAAAAAACAAAATAAAAGGATGAGGAAAAAATTACACTGGAAGAAGGAGGGGGATTAAATGGGATAAATTATCCCACATAAAAGAGGCATGAAGAAAACTTTTATAATGGAGGGGAAGGTAGGGATGGAAGGTGGTAGGCAAACCTTAAACCTTACTCTCATCAAAATTGGTTCAAAGAGGGAATAACATCTACACTCAGTTGGATGTAGAAATCTATCTTGCCCTAGAAGTCAGTAAAAAGGGACAGGAATAATGGAAGGGGAGGAGGACTGATAAAAGGGAGGATATATTGGGGAAGGAGGTGATCAGAAGTAAAAGAATTATGAGGAGGGAAAAGGTGGGGGTAAGAGAGAGAGTGGTATTAACAAGCACAAAATAGCATGGAGGGAAATACACAGTTATCATAGCTAAATGTGAATGGGATGAACTCTACCATCAAAAGAAGTGGGTAGCAGAATTGACCAAAAACCAGAATCCTACAGTATGGTGTTTACAAGAAACACATTTGAAGCAGAGAGATACACACAGGGTACTGGTAAGGGGCTGGAACAGAATCTATTATGCTTCAGCTGAAGCAAAGAAAGCAGGGGTGGCAATTATGGTCTCAGACAAAGCAAAAGCAAAAATAGATCTAATTAAAAGATATAAACAAGGAAACTATCTTACTGAAAGGAACCCTAGACAATGAAATCATATCAATACTAAACATATATGCATCAAATGGTATAGCATCTAAATTTTTGAAGAAGTTGAATGAGGTACAAGAGGAAATAGATAGTAAAACTATACTAGTGGGGGACCTCAACTTTCCCCTCTTGGAACTATATAAATCTAACCAAAAAATAAGTAAGAAAGGAGTAAGGAGGGGAATAAAATTCTAGAAAAGTTAGATATGATTCACCTTGGGAGAAAATTGAATGGGAATATGAAGTAATATACTTTTTCTCTACAATACATGGCACCTACATAAAAATTGACCATGTATTAGGACATAAAAACCTCACAACCAAATGCAGAAAAGTAGAAATAGTAAATGCATGCTTTTCAGATCATAATGCAATAAAATTATATTCAATAATGGACAATGGAAAGAAAAACTAGAAATTGAATAATCTAATCCTAAAAAACAAGTAAGTCAAAGAACAAGTCATAGAAACAATCAATAAAACATTAAAGGAAAATAACAAAAATGAGCTAACATACCAAAATTTATTAGAAGCAGCCAAAGCAGTACATAGGAGAAATTTTATATCTCTAATTGCTTACATCAATAAAATAGAGAAAAAGCAGATCAATGAATTGGGCATGGAACTAAAAAAAACTAGAAAAAGAACAAATTAAAAATCCCTAATTAAACACCAAATTGGAAATCCAGAAAATCAAAGGAGATCAATAAAATTGAAAGTAAAAAAACCATAGTACTAAGAAAAAAATTAAGAGCTGCTTTTATGAAAAAAGTAGATAAGCCTTTGATTAATTTGATTGAAAAAAGAAAAGAAGAAAACCAAATTACTAGCATCAAAAATGAAAGGGGTGAATGCACCACCAAATGAAGAGGAAATTAAGACAATTGTTAGGAGCTATTTTGCCCAATTATATGTCAATAAATTTGACAATCTACATTAATGGATGAATATCCACAAAAATATAAATTACCCAGATGAACAGAAGATAAAATAAAATATTTAAATAACCCAATCTTAGAAAAAGAAATTGAACAAGCCATCAATGAACTTCCTAAGAAAAAATCCCCAGAAACAGACATATTCACAAGCAAATTCTATCAAACATTTAAAGAAAAATTAATCCCAAAATTGTATAAACTATATGGGAAAATAGGCAAAGAAGGGGTCCTACCAAATTCTTTTTATGACACAAATATAATGCTGATACCCAAGTCAGGAAGAACCAAAACAGAGGTAAAAATTACAGACCAATTTCCCTAATGAATGTTGATGCAAAAATTTTACATAAAATACTAGGAAAAAGATTGCAGCAATATATCACAAAGATAATACACTATAACCACATGGAAATTATACCAGGAATGCCTGGCTGCTTCAGTATTAGGAAAACTATTAGCATAATTGACCAAATCAATAAAAAAACCAATAAAATCATATGATTATCTCAATAGATGCAGAAGCCTTTGACAAAATACAGCACCCATTCCTATTTAAAAAAAAAACACTAGAGAGCATAGGAATGAATGGAAATTACCTTAAAATGATAAGTAATATTTATCTAAAACCATCAACAAGCATCATCTGTAATGGAGATAAGCTAGAAGCCTTCCCAATACAATCAGGGATGAAGAAAGTATGCCCATAATCACCTCTATTATTTAATATTGTACAAGAAATGTTAAGTCTACCAATAAGAGAAAAAAATAAAATTAAAGGAATTAGAAAAGACAATGAGGAAACAAAACTACCACTCTTTGCAGATGATATGATGGCATAATTAGAAAATACTGGAGAATCAACTAAAAAACTACATGAAATTATTAACAACTTTAGCAAAGTTGCAGGATACAAAATAAATCCACATGAATCATCAGCATTTCTATATGTTACCAACAAAGTCCAGCAGCAATAGACAGAAAGAAAAATTCCATTTAAAATAACTGTAGACAATATGAAATACTTGGGAGTCTATATGCCAAGACAAACCCAGGAACTATATGAACACAGCTGCTAGTGTATAAACATAATCTTGTCTGGATGAGTTCTTACCTTGGGGAATGGAGTCCCCATCCTTGTACCACTCCATTAGAGTTCAGGGAGACCCAGCTCATAAAGGAGAAAACCAACCAGAGTGGTCTAGATGAAGATAGAATCTCCTGTCTAGATTTCTAGAGATGACTGAGTCTTATGATAAAAACATTCTCAGCAGAAGGAGCTGAAGACTTCTAGCCTGCCTCCTCACTAAATGTCAATAAATCAGGGCAGATTTTCAGTTGTCAAGTTAATTTCCTTTCAAGGGAAATTTACATATGTAAATTTACATAAGTAAAGCTTTTAGGCTCTCCTTGAGGTGTCTTTTGGTTACCAAGAGAAACCATTGACCATTAATTTATTGATGGCCAGCTAGCCTAATTAATGAATTAAATTTTAATTAATGAATTAATATTTTTGTTTTTACTATCTAATAAACAATAATTAAAATTATAAATAAATTAATATTAATTACCCAGAAACTATGTCTCTCAGGGTTTTATTTTTCATTCATCTCATGTCCCTGATCAATAATTAAAAGCCTCACTCTGTTGCAGGACTATTTTTATAAGGCTAATTATTTGAATATTTCATGAACTATTACTTAAAATAAAAAAGGTTAAAGGAATAGCATCCAACCACTAATACCAACTTCCTTGCTTTATAGACCACATTCAAGAGTGAAAATGTTTCTGTAAAGATGACAAGAAAACATTTTCCATAGGATCTGCTAGATGGGATTGAAGAGGCAGTGCTCAAAAATAATATCAACTTTTATATTTCCATAGGTCACTCTACCTTTGATGACAGTTCTTCTCACCAAGATACTATCATGAAATCTAAAGACATAATTCTAGGCATTCTCTTGTTCTCCCAGACAGGAATTGGAATTTTGGGGAATTCCTTCCTTATTTGTCTCTTCATCTTTGTGTTTCTCAGTGGACATAGGATGAGACCTATAGACACTATTGTCACTCAGTTGGCCTTGGTCAACTGCTTGGTGCTTCTCTCAAAGGGCATCCCTCAGACAATGACAGCTTTGGGTCTGATGAATTTCCTAGATGAAATTGGCTGTAAAATTATTTTCTACTTTCACAAAGTAGCTCGGGACCTTTCACTCAGCATGACCTGCTTCCTGAGTGGCTTTCAGGCCATCACCATCAGCCCCAACAACTCCAATTGGGTAGAGCTTAAAACCAGAGCCCAAAAATACCTCATTCCTTCTAGTCTCTTCTGTTGGATTGTTCATCTGCTTTTTTCCAGCTATATTCCTTGGGGAATTAATGGACCAAAGCAAAACAGAAACATCACTGAGATACAGCATCATGGATATTGTTCTCATAAAATTCCTTCTGGATTTCATGCCTCATTAGTTGCAACCTTTCTCTCTTTTCTTGATGCTATGTATTTGGGACTCATGGTCTCTGCCAGTGGCCACATGGTAATTCTTCTGTATAGGCATCAAAAGCAAATCAAGCAAATTCACATTACCTGCCTCTCCCCTAGAACCTCCCCTGAATCCAGGGCCACCAAAACTATCCTACTCCTAGTGAGCACCTTTATTTCCTCTTACTTACTCAATTGCATCTTGGCAGTGTATATGTCGGTTATAAAGTCCCCACTCTGGTTGATGCATACCTCTGCTTTCCTTGGTTCATGTTTCCCAGCTATCAGCCCCTATGTGCTGATCAGCAGTGACTCACAAGTTCCCAGGTACTTCTATGCTCTTTGGGGGAGGAAAACCCCACATTTTGACCCTGACAACAGATTAATATACTCTACACAGGATGACTTTCTGAAAGCTTCAGTTAGAGAAAAGCAATCACCATATCAAATGACATCTGAATCACACTGTAAATATTAAACTAACCTCCCATTTCATTGAAGCAGGGGGTGGCTTAGGAATAGTAATAGTAGAGCCAGAGAGTGATCTCAAGCTTATGATTCTTATGACTTTTATTCTGAATTGGGCATGGAACTAAAAAAAGAACTAGAAAAAGAACCTATCAGAATGGCTAATATGACCAAAAAAAGGAAAATGTTGGGTGTTGGAGGGAATGTAGGAAAACTGGGACACTAATGCACTGTTAGTGGAGTTGTGAACTAATCCAGCCATTCTGGAGAGCAGTTTGGAACTATGCCCAAAGGGCTGTAAAACTGCAATAGCACTGCTAAGTCTATATACCAAAGGCATCTAAAAAAAGAGAAAAGAGCCTATTTGTACAAAAATATTTGTAGTAGCTCTTTTTGTGGTGGGTAAGAATTGGAAATCAAAGGGATATTCATCAATTGCAGAATGGCTAAAGAATCTGTGGTATATGATTGTAATGGAATATTCTTGTGCCATAAGAAATGACAACTAGGATGATTTCAGAAAAACCTGGAAAGAGTTATATGAGCTGATGTATAATGAAGTGAACAGAACCAGGACAGCGTTGTACATGATAACAGCAATATTGTTCAATGAAGATCTGTGAATGACTGGGCTCTTCTCAGCCATACAACAATCTAAGACAATCCCAAAGGACTGATGATATAGCATACTATCCGCCTCCAGAGAAAGAATTGATATTGATTGATTACAGACTGAAGCATGCTTTTTTTCACTTTTTCCTCTTTTATTCAACTCTTCTTGTACAAAATGACTAATATGGAAATATTTTGCATAATTTACCTAATTGTACATGTATAACCTATTGATTACTTACTGTCTGGGGGTGGGGAAAGAAGGGAGTGATAGAATTTGGAATTCAAAATTTTAAATAAAAATGTTTTTAAATTTTTTTAGGGAAATTAAAGAAGAAAAAACTTTTGAAACATAATTTCCAGCAGGAAAACATTTTGAAGGGCTCAAACTTGAAGAGTTGATATCCTGAGGCTGATAGATGTCTGCATTTTTTCTTCAACCAAAATAATAATAAACAAAGTATGATGATATAAGAGATAAGAGTATCAGAAATGTATGGAACTGGAAACTAAAGAGAAACTAAATATGCGATTCATGAATAATCTTTTAAGGTGGATATCCAAACTATGAGGAGAGTGAGTTTCAGCTGAAAGTTTATAGTAGGGATTTTCAGGGTGTATTTCACAAGGATTGTCTTAAAGGGTAGATTCTTTTATGAATATATATAGAAATGAAGCCAATCTTCCCTATCACACTTTTCCTAATAGAGTGAGGGTTTTGCATTCCTTTATTGTTTTAGGATAAGGGGAAGGCAAGATTTAAAATTTGAAAACTGGTCTCTGAGCTCAAAGCTGCCTCCTACACTAAAATTTAAGGGAGGCCTAATGCTCACAGATATTTTGATAGTGGCTTGATAGAATTTTAAAAAGGTAAAAAGAAACACATAATTCTGAGGTTTATCAGTTTATTAGCAGGTTATGAACCTGTTAACAAAGTGAGTCAAATGTCTACCTCATTTAGGTTGATGACACAGAGGAGAAGGTACAGCTCCTTTTCATAAGCAGAGAGCAAAGAACAGAAACAGGTATATGAGGAAATTAATGCAATTGGTTAAAGAGCTGGCAGCATTATGATGGTCAGGAAGACATGAGTGGTTGGAAATTAAAAGTAAGGGGCTAGTAAGAACATCCTCCTTACATCCCATGACTAGGAAATGTTGACTTCCTGTAAGAGTCATATTTACTATTGGGAAAAGTCACCATAAAGCAAAGTCCCACCTCATTTACAGATCATCATAACCAGCCTTCACAATTTAATGAGATGAGACACATTCCTGTTAAAGGCAACAACCCAATAGGGAAACTGAATCAAGAGGATCCTACCTTAGGCCACTCCAAGGTCATCCTCTCAACCTTTCCTAGGCGCAGACATCCACCTGCAGCAGTTCTCAGATTGGATTCCCTTTCAGCAAATAACAACATTTTCCTCAAATGGCTGATTTCTGACTTAATGATCATTCAGACAATTATACCTGAATTCAAAACTCAGAACAACTCAGATTACAGTCCCATAACATTTCACCATAAATACAAAGTTTCATTAATCATAGCTTAGGGCCAGATACAGTTATTATTACTCTTATCTTGCTGCAATAAGCTAGGTAGCCATAAATGTTTACCAGGCCTCACAGAGAAAGGAAATTTTACTGCACATCCTTTTCTTCTTTTTCTTCTTCTTCCTCCCCAGTTTAAACTTATCCTGGTGTAAAAGTCAAGCATTAGAAATCAAGAAAGTGATTACATTTTGAAATTTCCACAAAGATAGTGAATAAATGATGGTTCACTAAAGAAAAAGAAAAGAAAAGAAAAGAAAAGAAAAATGCTGGCTAATTACTGCAAATCTCCAGACTAACAGATATCCACCTCTTATGCTATTGTATATCAACCCCTCAGGCAAAATTAAATCTCTAAGACTGGAGTCTATTAAGGCAAAATTAGTTCAAGATGTAATTTCAATATATATTATTCCAGATATAACTTATAAATTACATATAAATTATAAATTATTGCTATACTATAAACAAACTTTTAAATCCTCCTCTCTTTGTCAAAGACTGTTTGTAATGGAAAAGAGGATCCCATTTTCTCAGTAAGCCAATCCACAAGTTCTTTCACATTGCTGATAAGATTTTATGATATCACCCAAGCAGATGGTCTCAGGAAACCTGGCAGATTTATGAATAAGGAGATTTTACAGGGGGGAGGAGATAGGAATCAGCCTCTTTCCCCTTATCTTATTGCTGCCACCAATTGTGTCAATAGAATTTAATAAAAATTTAATAAAGAGTAAACAGGTGCAGAATTTCAATTAGATGTAGCCGTCCAATAAAACTTATTTACTTTTTAGTTGTTCACTCACGTACACAAACTTTCTTCTTTTTGTGAAGCAGGAAAGAGTTAGTAATAGGCAGATACTTTCTAACTGCCAAAGCTATTTAAAATACAAGCTGTACCTTATTTTTTTCTTCACTTTGAAATTTCTCTGATATTATGTTCAAATTAGCATCTTTCTAATCTACAAAATACTCTCTTAGATGTAAAACAATAAATCTGTCACTCTCCAGAGTGATAAAAGGTCCATGCAACATTCACATTTATGTTCTTAATTTCCTTAAAACAAATTCTAAGGAATTTTAACCCAAAACTCACTAGAATAGTTCAGCATTAAAAAAGCCATTTAAATTATAATTTAGAAACTAACAGCAAAATTTACATTTCAGTCACAAACTCGGTTTCTAATTAGTACATCTAGTACATTTCTAAAAGTTAGGGGAAAGATTCCATCCCTCTTCTCTGTGTTTCTTGTCTGTCTTCTAACTTGGCTATATTTAAATGACAGAGAGATATGCTTTTTCTAGGAAAAAATTCCTTTTTACTGTTGCTCTTTGGGCTGATAAGGCCCAAGGGAAAAGTTAGTTTGACTTTCAACCATAAATAATATGACAAGAGAGACATAATTAATCATTTACTGGCAAAATCTTCCTCCTTATCCCTGACTAGAGATTCAAGAGGGTGAAAGCCCTGTGAATTTGTTGAGTTATTTGAAAATTCCATCCTTCTAGGCTCTCTGCCAAAGCATATACAGATACAGAAGCACAGACTAATAAACACAGAGCTGACAGGTAGGTTGCTATTTCAGTATGGTTACTAAATGTCTCCAAAGACCATGCTATAAACAGAGAGAACTACAGACATAAATACATAAAGTTCCTAAGAAATTAATATACATATATATGTACATATATATATATATACTCCTTTGTTGGGCTAATTATGAGACTTTTGTCTGTATATTTTAATTAACCTTTCCCCCAATTTCTCTCAAAGGAAGCTAAGAATTCTCTAGGAAGAAAGAGACATCTTCCCCTGGTTAATCCAGGGTCTCTCCTTGGAGAACAAAAATCCCCCAAGGTTTTAAATTCAAGGTTGTAAACCTTCCCCTGGGTAGACCTAGGGGCTGTCTTTCAGGAAGCAAAAGAATTCTCCAAAGTTTTAAAACAAGGCTCTAAATTCTTCAAGGCTTTAAAAACCAAGACCTTAGACCTTCCCCTAGTTAGGCCTCTCCTTAGGAAACCAAAAATGTTCTTCAAGGTTTTAGAAATACCCAAAGGAATTTGGGGAGGGGGGCATTGCCAATTATTTCTAAATTATCAAACTAAACACAAATAGCACCCCAAGACAGACATACAGCAAAGGGTTATAGCTTTTCCCAACAGAGACCCTATCTTAAGCTCAGAGTAAAAATTATGGAATTTGAGGTTAAAGGGAGAGCCAGACCTTCCCTAACAGTTCTCCAAAAGAAGCCCACTCCAACCCATCTAGGTGAAAAAAATCTCACCAAGGAGTGCTCGATTGGAAGGTTGCAAAGGGTGGGGGGTTGGTTCAGGACTAGCCTCTCTTCCCTCATCTCATTGCAATCACCAATTGTCTCAATAGAATTTATAAAGATAAGATGAGGCCCAGAATTTTAAGCTATATCTGTTCATTAGCAGGGCATGAACATGTTGACAAAGTGGGTCACATTTGCTACCTCAATTAAGCCAATGACCCAGAGGAGGAGGCACAGCTTATTTTTATAAGCATAGAACAAAGAACAGAACTGGGAAGGGAAGGCAAATAATGCAATTAATTACAGAGTTGGCAGTATCATAGGGGTGAGGTTGACCCGATCAGTTGGAGATTGGGAAGTGGGGGAGGATTCTGGGAAGATTGTGGAGTAAGCCAGAAAATTCCAAGCTCTCAAGATTTTTCCCTACAAAATAAAAGATAAAATGGCACCTCAGGGCAAACAGAGTGGTAAAAAGAAGTAAGAGTAAGGGCACAACAAGGATCCTTCTGGGACAATTAGAGATCTGAAGAGAAATCCCGGGATGAGATTTCCTCCCAGTAGAGAGTAAATACCTCCAGGATATGGACCACTTAAACAACAAGTAGCAAGCCCTGGGGTTAGCAGGTTGGGAGACTGCCTTGGCCCCAGCCACAGGAATTTTCACCCCCAGGACAAGGAGGTGAGTTGGGCATCTGAGCAGGAGAAGATGGAGGGAACCTCTGCTAACAAGGAACACCAGCCTTAGCTGTGCCTCGGAGACTTGGCCAGGGATAAGAAGGAACCAGCACATGCCTGGTGAGTGCTGAAGCAGTGCAGCAGGGATGCTGCAGGTTATGGGCACTTATAGGAGGGTGCAGTTCTTGGTTTCCTTCCAGGCCAGAAGGGAGAACTAAAGGAGGATCTCAGGCCAGAGACACCATCCCCCTATCCCAGGAATAGAGGTGATTACAAAAATTAAGCCACTACTACCAAAAAAAAACCCCAAAAACCAAACCACAGAGCATTACTATGGGAACAGAGAAAACTGGGGTTCATCTTCAGAGGAGGATATTGAAGCAAAGAAACCCTCTTCTATCCCAAAGAGTGACAAAATGGTCACCTGCCCAAAAGAATTCATAGAAGAACTTTTAAAAGACTTTAAAAATCCAATGAGGGAGATTGAGGAAAAAATTTTTTAAAAATAAGAACAATTGAAGAAAAACAAAAAGATTATGAAAAGAAAGTCAACCAATTAGAAAAGGTGATCCAAAATCTTAAGGGAAAAATGACTCCTTGAAAATTAGAATTGGACAAGGGGAAACCAGCAAAGTTATAAGAGATCAAGAAATAATAAAACAAAATATAAAGAATGAAAAAATAGAGGAGAATGTGAAACATCCCATAAGAAAGGCAACTGATCTGGAGAACAGATCAAGAAGTAAAAATATATGAATAATAAGACTACCCAAAAGCTATGATCAAAAAAGAATCTTGATACAATAATACATGAAAGAGAAAATTATCCTGAAGCATTAGAACAAGAGGGGAAAGTAGAAATAGAAAAAATCAATTGATTACCGCCTGAAAGAGATCTTATGAAGAAAACCCACAGGAATATTGTAGTCAAATTCCAAAACCCCCAGATCAAGGAGAAAATATTACAGGCAACAAGAAAAAGGAAACAATTTAAATATAGTGCTGCCACAATTAGAATCACACAAGACCTGGCAGTAGCAACACTAAAAGACCACAGGTCTTGGAACACTATATATTGAAGAGCAAAAGAACTGGAGTTCCAGCTGAAAATATCTTATCCCGCAAAGCTAAGCATAATCCTAAATTTAAAAAAAAAATGGACATTTAATAAACCATCAGACTTTCAGGGCTTTGTTTTTAAAAAAAAACAAAACCTGAACTTAATAATTGATTTGACATACAAGAGCCAAGACAAATATAAGGTACATAGCAAAGACTAATTACAAGGGACACAATAAGGATAGACTGTTTCATGTATGTAAAATGTAAAGTGTATGTCTAAGATTGTTATTAGTAATTGGGTAGTTCATAAGAAAGATTGAAGTAGACCTGAGTATGATATGACTTTAAAAAGTAAAACTATTTAGGAACAGCTAAAAAGAGTAATTATTTTATGCAAATGAGGTGCTTGAAGAAGGAGCCACACAGAGGAATTAGACCACAGAAGAGGGCTGGTAGTTCTGGAAACCTACTTTCATCGGGAATGGGTTCAAGAGGGAACAATAGATATATATCCAGAAGAGTATAAAAGTCTTCTCAATTCAGAAAGAAATAAAATGCTAATGGGATAGGGTAGGGGGAGATGACATAGTAGGGATCTCTAGAGAGAAGGGTGAGGGAATGAATTAAAGGAGGGGATAAAAGGGTTGTTAGATTAATGAGAATGGGAGGATAACAGAGAGATCCTTGGAGGGGGAGTTGGTTAAGTAATATGAGAGCAAGGTAGCAGGTAGAAATAAAGTAGAGGAGTCGGGAGGGATAGGAAATAAGAGATACACACAAACAAAAACAAAGATCAGGAGTAGAATTTGTTAGGGAAAGTATATGCCTATATATGTATGTATGTTTATATATGTATATGTGTATGTATATATCTACATATAAATATATCCATGCTTAACTGCAGCCTTCTAGGGGAAAGGGAAGAAGGGGAGGGTGAAGAACCAAGTAAAAAGTGTACAGCAGAGAGGAAAAGAAAACTTACAAGGAAGCAAAGAAAAGATGGATAACTCTGAACACAATGTATAGTATTTATCATATAGGCTTCCTTGAAATGGAATTTAGGAAATTGCTTATGGAGGAACTAAAATCCCCCATCTCCCTCATCCACATCTTGTTTGTTTTCCTTTTGCAAAGAGAACTAA